GTAAAATTGTAGGTCCATTGTAATTTTGTCTGTTCTATTGTTTCTATTATTCAATGTTTTATATCATTGCTATAGTTTGTAGTAATAATAGAAAATAACTATCTTAATTCAGCAAGCATGAGTGTTCAAATTTAATTACATAGGAAATTCTAATAATATCTTCATAAACTTATCATTAACAAAACTAAATACTAACATGGGAAATTGTTCACCAGTAGACATAATAAAATATTTTTCTCCTCGTCCCATGAAAAATATTTTTGTCGGTATTCTGGAATATTTATAAATTTTCTTTCACCCATTACGTAATAATCAAATCATTTTTGTTTTAGTGGACCTATTTAATCCGAAGCAACTTTGGGCCGGCCTAATAAGGTTCTAATTGATTATATATGTCTATGGCATAATCACATGAGTTTATTTCAATTGCCACCGATAATGTTGGTTCATGGACAACTATAGCCATTTTGGATTCTTTTTTTCTGATAGATCTAATTCTATGTTCGCTGGAATTCCTCATTGATCTGTTCGATTTGTTATTGTTATTGTTATAGGGTTTAACACCGTTTTTCAGCACAAGATTAGCTATACATTACGGCCAGTATTAATGGTGGAGGAAGAACCCTAGAAAACCCAGGGAAGAACCACTGACCCACGAGAAGCTTCAGGCAGGCTTTCTCACTTACCCATGTTATCTGACTCTGGACTCGAACTTGTGTTCAATTTGATAACTGCCTGTAGGTATACTGACTACTTGCCAATGTGGTATTCCATCATTGCGACTTTTATTTGCAAATACCAGTGATTTATTTGGTTGTATTCCACCAAAATATTTTGATCTAATATGGCCAATTTTAATAAAACCATAATTGTGCTGGAGCTATTTCTTTGGCTGGAATTGCATGTGAAATTTGATATTAAATTCTGGGTGTGTTGAGTTTGCTAATATCATCATGGTTTTCAACGGAGTTGTATTAGTGATGATCTGTTGTAGTAATTTATTTGTTGACATTATTTGTTAATCCCCTGATTGAAAAATCAGGATCATTTCTATGAATTCGTTATTCGATATTATTCATTCACTGAAATTTTATGAAATCAATGATGATAACTTGGAGTATGTGCTGAAAGCCACATGCATTTTTTTTTTTTGTACTCATGCAGTTTTATATTTGTGCATGTAGATATTTTTTCTTAGTGATATTAATACCAGCAATTGTTGCTGCTGCTGAAACATAAATTGTTACAACTACTGATGATGTCATTATTACTTTTGATAACAATACACTGGTTCCAGTGATAACAGCAGAAGCAAAATATACAATTATGTCAGTGACAACTACACATCTGCAATATTTTTTTACTTTTACTCTATACTTATAGATGATATTTTTCAGTTGTGTATGCCATGAATTTGAAACACTGAGCATTGATTGTCATTATATTTAAGTAAGTGGTAGTTTAGCGACTAATTCAAGACACCAATAGTACAACATGAGGGTTCCTTTCTCTTCTGGTTCCGCCATGAATATTTCTTCATTGTTTTGATACTACTAACAATAGAGGAGAAGATCCAATTGGTGGAGTCCACCATGAAATTGTGGTAGATGCTGTAAATCCTGTAGCACTGATTACTGAGCACCTGTATATACTGGCAACCTCAGGGTAATGTTTGATGGATTTATTGAGTGATGTCCATAATGCTGATGTATATACTGCACTTTTGGTAATCTTTTTAACATCAGAATGTTTAGTATCAACCACAGGAATTCCGAAAAATTAATTAATAGATCTGTTTGTGTGTCTTTGAAAGTTCAAAAACATTTGTACGTGATTATTAAACTCAGTTTTAAATGTTGTCATTCTATCATAGATTGTTATCAATGATGTCATCATTGGGATGTTGCTATCATCAACATACTTTTTTGTTGCAGCAGCTAAATCTGATTCTGGTGTTCAGAGTTTATTAATACCATTATTATTCATGTTGAGAAATGCACACATTATACCATTGTTAACAAATACAAACTTAGATTCTTGATCAACATTTTTTTTTTTGCAGCTTCTGTATCAGTGGCTGGGTTTCCAATGTCTGTAATTTTATTTTGATTCATGATGATGTTACCCATGAATTTATCACTCGTTTCCTTGATATAATCATTAACTGAATTACTGAAAATTGTATTTTACCTTGATTAATAAAAGTAACAATATTATTAACAACCACAGTGGGAATTTGTGCACATCTGGTAATTATATGTTACTTGTTTTTAATTGTCCTTGTTTATTCTGAAAAAAACTGCTTCATTTTGATCCATACTTGTAATATTTGGCAAATCATCGATTTCATTCTTGAGCTGGTCAGTAGTTGCATACATGGATAAGTCACCTTGCTGCTGAGCTTTACCTTTAGAAAATCTTCCATAAATATCTGCCATTATATTTACTAATGTCTGTTTAAAGCATTGAATGTTTTATAAAGTTGTACAAACTTCATGATGTGGTTTTGTTAATGCTGATACAGCATTGAGTATGGCTAGTACTTCATGGCCACATATTGGCGAATTAGTTATTGTTTGTGTTGTAGCATTGAAAACCATACTGGTATATTACCTGCTAAATTACTATATCATAAAAAAATTTTGTGGCACCAGTCCATATGAATCAAAATAAACAATTCCACGTGGATTAATTACTTTAGTGGTATTTTTTGTCCACAGTTATCTTTTGATACAGACTGACACTAACATGATGATATGACATTATAATATCAGGAGCGATTTAATTACATATTTTCTGCTTTGGCATCAGTAACTCTTATTCATCCACCAACACCTTCAAATAGCATTTTGTTTTGAGTATAACAGCAATTGCTCTATGATTAGCAATAGCTCCTCTTGTCACAGGAGCTTGAAATATCAACGCCAGATTTTCTAAATAAATCATGATGTTCCAGCAAAAAGTAATAGATACAAAATTGTAAAATCTGACTAGGATATTTATAAACCAGAATCAACTTTTTGATCATGCGCCATGAATGACATTCAATGATGATATACACGTGCTACATGATTGTGATAAAAATTTAACAAAACATCCTCAGCTGGTTTTTATTGTCCATTATTCTCAGTCAAAATTATGCTTCATGAGTTTACTAGTGCAGCATCTTGGATATAAACAAATATATGCCATGGTGCAAAAAGCACCTTGCTGTGATGCTATCTGCCATGTAAATTAACCATTTAAAGTGTGCTTTGAAGACTATATGTGGTTAACCATGACAATATTGATTTACCAGTTTGATTCATAAAAGAGAGTAAGTGTTCTTGTTCAGGTATTTGTTGGAGTCATTACTGACATCCACAATGAAAGTTTTGTTAGAAATACTTTACCAGCATCACCAGCAGTTCGCCATATTGGATCATCATCTGTACTTTTCACATGAATACAACTTCTTTTTTCTGATACTGGTACACCATCCAACTCTTAGGTTTTGATTTGCAGCTTGATTTATTATTTTACTAACATTTGCAGACATAACTTTTGATTACTTTTACTGGTTTAGGTTGTTGTCTTATTAATCATGCTAGTCTATCTTTAATTGCTGAAAATGCTTAGCTATCAACAGCACCAATAACTTTTTCATGAATGTCAATAGCTTTCATTCCAAGTTGGTTAGACTGGTCAGTTTTTGTTGTTGAAATTGTTGTTGTTTTTGTTGTTGTTATCTCATCGTTAAACTCCATATATCTTGAAACATCATTTCTGACCTTATCAGCTCCGAAGTGTATGTGACATATCCATTTATTCCAGTAATCACGGCTTATAAAGTGACCATGGTACTCTGGTTTCAGAAATTGTTCTTTTTTTATTAAAACTTTTCACCGTGCTCAAAGCTGAATGTTTTATGTTTCTGGCTCTCTTAATATCATTAACACTTTCTATGGTAAATTTATCAATCAATGCAACTGTATCTTTTGCTTGTTTTGGTGTATGATCCTCTGTATCACCTTCTTCAGCACGAGCTTGGTCAATATCTTCAAGTATTTCTTTTACTGGTTGAGCACCAGCTATATCAACCAGATGCTGTCTTAGAATCTTTTTTGTTTTCTTTGTTTTTTTCTGCTATTGTCCCAGTTGCTTTAGCTGTTAGCTTTAACATGGGAAGAAGACATTTAGTAGTTTTTGTAATAGGTTTAAACAATTCTTCTGCACCTTCTGCAAATCCTTTCAGTTCCTGATGCACACTTTTAGTTGCTGTTTGATAGAATCATGGACAGGTCAGTATTTCTTAATTTCCTCTAGTCATTCTGAGCTAATCTTGCTGAGTGAGCTTCACCAATCATTATTGATATAATAGTTATTTAATTACAGCAGCAGAGATGGTTGACAAATGATTAAGTTGTACAGGAGTAAACACATGCATGGAATCAATGTAAAAATGAAGTAACCCAATTGGTGGAGGTTTATTGTTGTCCAAAGACCATAATTTTGTTTTGATAAGTAACAATCCAAGCAAGTGGTCTGTCTGTTCACCCTCTCTTGTGCTTCCTCTCAATGTCAAGAGCTGTTACAAAGTTGAATGCACAACTATATCAGAGAGAAGCAGTTTATTTCTTTCCCAATGAGGCCATTGCACACTTGACTGCTTTCATTTAAAAAAATATGAGATTTGACATGTACACTTCATGGTCCTAAGTAAAGTTCATCTAAGGTTGAACAAACTGCTTGAGTCTGAGTTCTTCTGACCTTTCCCACAAAATGTGATGTGATTATGATTTTCAATGTAGATTTAACAATTTTTTACTCATCCCTATGATGTCTGCAGTGTGGCAGTTTATAGTGATGTCTACCACTGGGGCATCATGCCACTGATATGTAGCATGATATCCCACCCAGTCACATTATCCTGACACCAGGCTGACCAGTCCTAACACTAACTTTTTAATGCTGAGCATCAAGCGAGGCAGCTGTTAGTACCATTTTGTAAGTCTTTGGTATGACTCAACCGGGGATTGAACCTACGACCCCCCACATCTGAGGCGGATGCTCTAACCGCTTGGCCACCCGAGCGGTTTACCCACAAAATGTAAAAATATCCCTGTAATGATAATCATAATCACGGTTTACAATAAAGAGTAATCATCAGTGATAAATGTTATAAATCTCAGCTCATTCAAAATAACAAAGAAAAGAATGAAATCAACAAGCTTTGTAAATTTTAAAAAAAAATAATTTATTTCCCTACAAAATAATGTAAAAATAGAAAATAGGACTTACGGTTTATGAATATAATCCCAAAAGTAATCCCAGAATTGAAAAATATACATGTTATCACTAAACTGTCCTAAATGAATCAAAAAATGGTTGATGATGATGTCAGATGAATGAATGAATTGATGTATCAGAAATCCCGCATTGAAGTTTATGTACCATGAAAAAAATTGTCAAAATTTCCACAATGAATATTGTGAATCATGAAAGATTATTCTGGCTTTAGAACTCTGAATAATTTCCATTACCTGTCTTTGTCCAAGAATTTCATGATGAGCAGCACTTATAAACGTTTCTCAGAGAATTAATTATTAAATCCAAAGAATAGAAAAACTAAAAAAAATGAGCTCATCAAGCAACAACAAAAATACCTCTGAACAGTCAAAGTATTATTATTATTATTATTATTATTATTATTATTATTATTATTATTATTATTATTATTATTTTATGACTAGAAAACAGTGATACTGAGTTAGATCTCCCTTAAACATCAGTTGGACATGTGATGGAACACATGATCACTTACTACAAGGCATTTAACATATATGCTAAGATAGTCTTATTTAAGAACCAATAATAAAAAAAACATTGATAACACATGGTGATTATACAATTGAGGTATAACCTTGATACTGACCAATCATTTTTTAACTGTGTTTACCAAGAGTCTGAACTAAGGTCAGCTAAAAATAATGCTAATGTAATATTTTACTCTCTATACAAACAGAACTTACTTTTTAAAAAAATATTGAATCCCTGAAAATAATCATTACAATAAAGTGTAATGAAACAAAACTAAAATAAAATGAAATCTGAGGTGGATGCTTTAACCACAAGCCACCAGAGCAGTCCAGAAACCCTTTTTTGAAATGGTTTTATGGGTTATTTACAAGTGACCCATATGCTCTTACTCTGCAGTGAAGGCTTTTATACAACTGCTGAGACCTCATCATGGTAACCATATGCCCCACTGTTTTTGCTGCAGGGGAATCATTATCAAGAATTATTTTCCTTAATCATTAGTGGTTTATCTACTGTATGATGGGAATTGACACTACCCACTAGAGTGGTCATTCATTCCATGAATATGTTTCTGCCTCAGCAGTGGCAACTTATCTATAAGAACATATGTGGCAGAATGATATAATTTATCTATTTTTAAATAATGTCTTAATTAAGCAGAATTAAATACTTTTATCATTTTTTTTTTAATAATGTTTTAATCAGGTAGAATTAATTACTACTGTCATTTTTTATAATAGTCCTGTCATAATTAGATAAAATTAAATACTTTTATCATTTTATATAAATTAGTCATGTTTTAATTAGGTAGAATTAAATTCATTTATTATTTTATATGGTATTCATTTGTAGTTGCAAAAAAGTCACCAGTTGCAATTATTGTTAGTCTTCCTTTTTTTTTGTTGTTGACCAGTTTAGTCAGTTGGGTAACCTTGAACCAGGATACCTATTCCAGGTGTTTTGTTTTCACCTTGACAATTAGGCTACCTGATTGCTGTTCCTGTTGGTCTGTTCCAGTTAGAGGACAAGCAATAAGCAACTTTACAATTGGCCAGTTTGACAATTGTTCATGTATTATGTGCATGAATTCTTCACCTTGGGATAAATATAAGAGACAGGGTAATAGATTCTTTTCTGATTTGTTTTGCTTATAGGATGTTCTTGGCAATGTATTTCAAATTAAATGCAATTGAGGGACATGAAGGTTAGTACTCTTATTATCTGTTTTATTCAGTCAATATTGATGTTATGTTTGTAATGTATAAAATTTTCTCCTGTTCAATTATTTTCTTTATATTCAGTTATAAGCTGTTAAGATGAACTAATTGAATATTTCAGATTGCTGCTGGTGATATTTATGTCATATTGTTCACATTATTTGTGAATAATGTAATATGATATTGTCCACATTACTTGTGGAGAAGTTTACTTAATGTATAAGGTAGAATGCAATTAAACATATTTTACTTATTTTTTCCAAAGATGTATGATATTAAAATCTGCATCATGTATACACAGATATAGAGGATCTCTAATAGGTAATGAATATTGAATTATGAGTTGAACATTGTCCAGCTTTTACTCTGTAAGGCTTACAAAAGCTGGACATTAGTCAATGAGTTTCATAAATTTAATATTAAATCATTACAATTTACCTATTGGAGATTTGTTTTATTTTATTTCAGTGGAATTTTTTTTAGATGAAAATGAGAACAAATAATTTTTTTTTCATTTTGACAGATGTAAGTTTCATTTGTTGTGCATAAAATAGTCCCAACCAAAGTTGAACTAGTGTTGACTTTTAAAAGTAGATTATATTTTTCTTACAAACTATTCTTAAAGAACAAGCATCCTTCCAAATGAACACATTTTAGACAAAATCATTGGGGGCCCCTAGTAAAGCCTGTCCATTATGGATCACTGCCATCTCACCTCTGTCTGCCGTGGGTTGAGTCTAGGATTCAGCAAATATGAATATGTGAGAAAGCATGCCAGTAGCTTCTCGTGGGTGGGTGGTGGTGTGGGTGGGTGGTGGTGAGTAGGTGGTTCTTTCTGTGGTTTTTCGGTGATTTCCAGTTTCTTCCTCCACCATTAATACTGGCCGTGTGCTGAAAAATGGCATTAAGCACAACAATAGCAACAACAAAATCATTGTTCATATAGAATGTCCAATGTGTGTAATGTCGCATTGTTTGATGCACTACTTGTACAGTTGATGATCTCTGTTTACATAACCTTAAAGTATCACTTTCACATCTTATAATTACACTAATATTGCACTAATATTGCGATATTCATGTGAAAGAAGGGTTTTAAAAACTATCAGCCAGTCAGTAAAGAGACTACTGCACAATAATTTCATGGGCATATTTGAAGCAGTCAGAATCATAGTGATAGCATAACCTGTGGTAACATAAAAATATGAAACTGCACATAGTATAGGAAAACTATACCTACTAATTCACATTAAAAAATTTTCACTGTGGACTTGTTAACCATTAATATGAAATGCTTTTGCAAATACATCTGATCCCAGATTGTTAAACTGCTGTGTATATCAATATTTTTTGCAACTCTTGGTTGATTGTATATTATGTGCAATTTTTGTTTGAGAATAAATTGTAGTGATCATCTAAATGGAAGATTTTGCATAGCTTATTTTTTACAACAGGTATGGGTTCTAATTTAAGATATTAGTGCCAGTAGATTTGTAACATTGGATCGATAAATAGATGCTATCAGAGATATAGAAATAAAAACATTTGACAAATTAATTGGCTGAGGGGACCAGGTGGTTTCTTAGAAGAATTATTTTCCATTGGATGAGTTAGGTCAAAAGGTCAGATGAAAAGTTATTGTGAAATATTAGATTCAGTAGTAAGATGTGTCATGTGGGTATATTCCTACAAGTAAAAGACTATAAGGATAGAATTGAGCAATCCTTCATCCTAGTTTGGATTCATGCTTCATATATATTAGAGTTGTTTCTATAATTTAAGGGGAGGCATTGGTAAAAATGTATTCATTGTAATTGCAGGGCTCATATACAACTGCAAACCAAATTCGATATGTATTATAATCACTGCAGTTTTGATTTTGTATTTCTATCTTTGAAGTTATTCATTCAGAATGTTTATTGGATCATGTGGATTGTCTGGTCAACAGTAACAATTATCCATGATGTTTAAATATTCTTTTATGCATTCTTCCAACATTTCCAAGGTAATATGATAACCACAATTTTCAATCATAAGGTATGCCTTTCTCGTCCCCACCCCTATTTTTATATCAAGAATTATTTTTTATCATGTGCAGTGCATGCCCAGCCATTCAAAAGCAGCAAGTTATGAAAATATACACTTAGATATGAAGATTAGAGTTAGAAGTAGATATAGTTGGAACAGCAGAGGCAGATATATACATGTATGCAGACATATAAAGGAATTGGTAAGCAGCAGGGAGGGTGAACCCTACAAATTTTTGCGACAAAATCGATTAAAGCCTCAGAATGCAAAATGGAGCCTTCCTAGGAAATCTCATATTTTAACCAAAAAAAAATTAAAGGCCCCATTTTACAAATGGAGCCTTAGCGATTTTGTCGCAAATACATTGTCATAACCACCCTCAAATTGCTGCCATCTACGGTCGCAAATATGTTGTCATTTCACCCTCCCTGCTGCTGATTAATACAAATTATTTGTTAGCTTTTCACAAACAGACTAATCGATAATACTTCACCACGTAGATCAATCAAATTATTTGACTGATCGGTGAGTGTAAAATTAATTCTAGTTAGTAAATCATTTTGACATTGCATATAGACTGGATTAGTCGGATTCTCAACAATTAAAAATCCGGGGGGTGCTGTTGGTGAAAATGAATAAAGAATGTAACCTTGTCGGGCTTGATTTGATTGTTCCATATTAATTTGATAACTCCCTTCGATTACATCACATGTTAAATTAAGTGCGATCACCGATGAAATATTCACATTGTTCGGTGCGATATGTCTACCGTCGCCGTCGGGAGAATTATTATAAGTGAGGATAATAGGCTTCGGCTGGCTATCTTTCCATGATTGATAAATTTTATTAAATCCTTCGTCGATGGCAGTTCTGAGTTTTTTCTTTAACTCGGGAACATTATATCCTGGTAATTTATAATTTGGATTTTCATTTATATTTTTTTATAATCTTGAGCTGAGCTAGTTTTTGAAATCGGGCTATTTTCATCAGTGAAGAGATTAGTAATCCTCGAATTAAATATTTCCATGT